GAATAAAAGCAATTTATACCTGTAAGTGTAACCTTGTATAACAAGCTTGTAATAGAACAGTAGCATAATCTTGTGTTATAATTATTATAAGAAGTAGTTATTCTCAGAGCCGGGCATGGTGACACACACCTGTAATCCCAGCACTTGGGAGGCTGAGGCAGGAGGATTGCTGTGAGTTCAAGGCCAGCCTGGATTACAGTGAGACCTTGTCTCAAAAAAATTGAAAAAAAAAAAAAAAAAGCTGGGAAAGTTTATATTTAAAGAAACTGAATTTTAAAAAAAAGAAACTGAGGGGCCGGGGATTTAGCTCAGTGGTTCTGGCACCTGCCTTGCAAGCGCAAGGTCCCGAGTTCGATCCCCCATACCAAAACAAAACAAACAAAAAAAGAAACTGAATTAAGTTTTAATTCTATTTAAATTGGGTCATATAATTAATGTTTCAGAATATATGTAGTCATGAAAAAGGCCATAAAATACATGGGTTACCTTTAAGAAACAATATGCAATACTCTGACTACAACTGCATTAAAACATATCTTATACAATGAAAATAAGATATGAGTGGAGTTTATGCCCAGACTTCTCTTCCAGTGTGGACAATTTAAATCTAAAACACTTCACTGTTAAGCAAAGACACAATCAGTAATGCAAATGATAATCCTGTGACTAATCTATGTAAATCTGGGCGTTCATGTGAACCAAGCTTGTTTAAAACAATACACACTTGAGCATGAAATCAGATCCTGACAGTGTTCATGCTGACAGTGTGTCAAGATCTCCTTGCCAAGAAACATCTTCAAACCCAGAAAAGCTGGAAGGACAAGGATGGTTATCTCTGAATTACAGGTGAAGAAAGCAGGCACTAAAGAGATAAAGTGTCTTGCCTAATACACAGCGAGTGAGTGGTAGCGCAGAGGCTACATCCCCTTCCTGGCCCAAGGCTTTTCTCATGAGGTGGCATATTTGGGCTGCCAGGTGGCCTTGGCCTCCACTGGACCAGGAGGGTAGCACTTTCCTGAATCTCAGTTGTTACCTATTATAAAGAACAGGCAGTTCCTCCAGTAGCTCCTGGTTCAGATCTTCAAATACAAGCTGGGCTTTGTTGAACTCTTCCTCTGCCTATGTGGTGCAGGAGACAAGACAACCCCACTTAATCCTGAATCCATGGCTAGAGGCTCCTTCGTCCTCTGCATTTTGTCAGGTTTCTGTGGAGGCTGACTCTCCTCTCCTTCCTTCTCCAGACCCTCCAGCTCCTCCCCATCCTCAAGACTCTGATTACTACACAGCATGAGTGTCAGAAAAAAAACCCCAGCATTTCATTCAGGACACTGGATGCTGAATTTATCATTTCTTTTTTTTTTTTGGTACCAGGGATCTAACTTGGGTCCTTGCGAGGCATGAGGTGGAATCACTGAGCTAAATCCCCGGCCCCTGAATTTGTCATTTCTTACACCCATCTTGGCCCAGCCACCTGGCACCATTCTGGGGCGAGGGAGAGAAGGGAGGTTTTGTTTGTTTTCACCTTGGCAATCTTGGCCTCATCTTTCTTCTTAGCATTCTGTACCGCCTCCAGGTGGTGTCGGGCACTGTCATAGTCCACAAGTTTCCGACCCCGCTTGGCAATTCTTTCCTAATCCAGAGTGATGAGAAAGGGTGTGGATATTAACTTTTCAGTGGCCAGGATGGAGGTAACAATACAAGCAGAGAGGCAAGATTCTGGGGTCCTATGATCAAAGTTTACTTTTTTTTTTTTTGGTACTGGGGATCGAACTTGGGTCCTTGCACTTGCGAGGCAGGTGGCAGAACCACTGAGCTAAATCGCCGGCCCAGTTTACTTTTTAATATGGTTTGGTGCCCCAGGGATCTCCCTTACTGTCTCAGGAGAATGGGGATTCTCAGGCAGAGACAGTAAGGGGCAGTCCTACAGGGGATGTAGAATCATGCATTAAATTTTATTATTTCCTATGAATCCACTATAAATTGGTTCAGCCTCTAGGAGAAACAACCTGGAAGACCACTAAATTGAAAGGCGTTTTGGGTCTTCATCCCAAATCTGCCATTCGTCAGCCCTGTGGCATATGGCAAGGCATACAGATTTTTCCCCCACGTATCTCTTTCGGAGCTCCAGGAGCCTCTTCTACTCCCTGTCCCAACAAGCATTACTTTAAAGACCAAATGCTGACTATAAAGTGCTCTAAGGGCCAGGGATTTAGCTCAGCGGCATCACGCCTGCCTCGAAAGTACAAGGTCCTGAGTTCGATCCCTGGTATGGGGGGGAAAGAAAGTGCTCTAAAAACTAATGTACACTAAGGAGTGACAGAAAATCTACTCAATCCCACCCAAATTAGATTACATCAGGAAGAGGCAAATTCTGTCATTTGTCCACCTCATCTTCTCAATCACAGAATTTGAAAAGATAATTTGAAAAAGATATTTGAAAAGATTAGTGATTATCTTGTCCAACTTCCTATGGGGTACACGAAGCTCCTCTAAAATATCGAAGGTAAGAAGTAGTTTGCCTTCTGCCTAAGCAGAGAACAGCTACCTTACAGTATATTTCATTTTTAAAAATCGATCTCTGTCTCTGTCTCTGTCTCTGTCTGTCTCTGACTGGGGATTGAACCCAGGGAGTATATCCCCAGCTCTTTTATTTTGAGGTCTCACTGAGTTGCCTTGGCTGGCCTTGAACTTGCCATTCTTTTGTCTCAGCCTCCCAAGTAGTAGGATTACAAGTATGTGCTATCACACCTGGCTGAAACTTAATCTTTAATGTTAAGTTTGGAAACTTAAGTTTGCCTCTGTCCAATTTCTTCCTCTTAAGCTAAAATCAGTACTGTGCCAAACAGATGTTTCATAAATTTAGTTGAATAAACAGCTAAATTCTAATTCTGCCTTCTCAAGCAGTTCAGAACAGACTGAGTTCCTTTCATCTAACAAGAGTTGCAAGTATTTGAAGCTTCCTCTTCTTTCTTTCCATCAACTGTTTCTCACATCTGAAAGGGATACCCTGACCCAGATTTTATTCACTGATCCACCGAGCCCAAAGCTAGCTCACTGAAATCTAGGTTTAAACATCACTTTCATGCTACCTCTAACCTTCCATTCTAATCTTCTGTCTAATTCTCGACCTTAATCTTTTTCCTTACCTATGTAACTTCATTCCTAACCATGGACTCTAATGCTCCTTATATCATTTAACCTGAACACGTTTTCTAACTGGTATGGGTCATATACAACCTTGACTCCATTTTGTAAATCAAGTACCTTAATTTCGCTGAACTGAGCTACATAGTTTTCCATGGTCCTCAAAGCCTGGTCAGCCAATTTCTCTTCATAGTCTTCCCAAAGGAGATCATTATTCTGTAGGATGGAGGCAGAGGCTGGTGAGGGCTCCACTTCTCAAGTGCCCACCAGGGAAGTACCCACACTCTCCTTGCAGAAAAACTTTTTTTGTAGTACTATGCTTAGACTATCTTGTTGGATTTTGGGGAAGAGTTGCAGGAAGGAGACAGCCCTGTCCCGAGGAACTGCCCTATGTGAGACTAGGCATACATTAGGGATGAAGAACAGGCACATATGTTCAGAGACCTGGATGCTACAGCTTAGCATGTAGGGAAGCTTGGGAGTAATTAACTGAATAAGGTTGGTATCCAAAAATAACCAATCTTCAGGAAGTAAAACTTTCATAAAGTGTTAAAGAGGGGAAAAGGGTCAAAACCAGGAAAATCTACAGATAAGAGAAAATTTATTTTTATCTTCATGTTGCTGCTTCTTCCCAGCACCCGGTCACTTGAGGCTACACAAATGGACAATGTGAACTAGAATCTTTGTTTCCATATTCTCTTGGATAGAGAAGCTCAGCTGCGGTTGAGATGAGTACGGAAGTATGTGGTGAAGAGTCACAAAGCCCAAACTACTCTTACCCCTACGATGGCCTTCAGCTCCTCATGCCCATCCCACTCGCTGCTGTAGATCTCCTGCAGCGTCTCTGACACTCTCTTTGAACTTTCATGCATCACTGAAAGAGAGAACTCAGTGCTACCATCAAGTTTTCCAAAAGGTAATCTGATGTAATCACATGGGTAACAAATCAGTGGCTTAGAAGGACAAACTGAGAAGGTTACGTTATCAGTGAGGGAAGCTGGATAGGACTGGGATAGGAAATGTCACTCCTCTTAGGCCCAGAGAGTTCCAGGAGCCAAGAGCAAACAAGTGTTAAGTACCTGGGTTGGTTGATTTTTCCACTCCCTGACCTCTTAGCATCTGAATAAATGCCCTCTAGATTCTCCTGTGCTATAATACCCACCTTTGACTGCACTTAGGAAGTTCTTCAAGTCCTTGTACAGCTTGTGGCCTTCCGTCTGAAAGGGAAAAGTAGCTTTAGTGACTAAAGAGATGTATTTTAAAAGATGCCCTAGAGATCAAAGTGGAAAAGTACATCAAATGCATAACTCACTCCTGGTATTTCTTGAAATATTCACAACTGTTAAAAATTAATTTTTACCCTAAAGTTACAGGCCAGCTTCTAAGTGGGACAGTTGCTAGAAGTTTCAGTGCACTGGCACAGCTTCTTTCTTCTGTTTGTTCTCCCTCCCAGTGAACAGGATCTTGTACCCAAGCTCTTCGGATGAAATTTAAGTGTCTTCCATTTGATACACTTTATGTCAGTGATGGAGAGAGAACCTTTCAGAGCTTTCAGTGACACAAACAGCCTGCGGTGCCCCATGTGCCATGGTTTCACCGCCTCTGATCTATGTAGTCCTCTGGCTCACACTCTGCTCTCAGGGTAAACTGCTGGCATCTTCTGCAGATATAAGGCTATTTCCTTCTCTGGAGACTCACACAGACATTCCTCCCCCCACTCCCACCAGCTTTTGCCTTGCTTCACTTTACCCTTCTAGCAGTCACCTGCTTATCCTTCTCCCATGTGCCTAGTCACTGATTCTCCTTTTGTTCAACTCCAATGTCTTCTGCTATAGTTCTACTATCTATCCCTGATTCTATCTTTCCTCTTACGTCTGAATTCTCGTACTTTTTTTTTTTACCAGAATACCCAAATGCAGAATAGGATTCCTCTTTCTGAAAAACAGGGAAGTTGGGCACGGTGCA